ACGTCGTGCGACATCATGCGCAACATCATGCGCAACATCATGTGCGAAATCACGCACAGCTTCGCGCGCAGCATCAAGCCACAGCATCGGCGCACGAGAAGTTGACAGGAGAGATCGTGAAGCATGATGCTTAGCTGCTAAGCTTGCTTATCAGAACTCGGAGAAGCTACGCTTAAGCAAAGACATTGACGTGTTTACGACTCGTTTCTCATCAGGTGGGAGAGGTTTCTTTGCTTCCAGGCCACTTGTCGTCATGTGAAGAAAGCAATACTGCTAATACTGCTTGGGGTCTCTTGCCGGGAGAACTAATAGCATCGCGCGCCAAAGGTGCATGCGCAAAGGTGTCCATTTTGGGTCTGTCTGGCTGAATGTGTATACATAGAACATTGGTGGAGCTGGCTTCAGTCAGTTTGGTTCCAGCCATTTGCCGGTGACATCTACTTTTCCAAATGTGACTCAGGATTCTGGACTGATGTCCTTCATATACAACAACGATATTGATGTTTGAAGGGGCAGGTTTTAATTTGATCCTGTTCCAGAGTTTCCTTTGTGTGTTGCAATAATCCAGTGCTCCAGTGTTCCAGTGGTTTCAGTGTTCCATTCCAGTTCCAGTGTTTCAATGTTACAATGTTTCAGGAACTCGGACACAATCAAAACAATGGAACTGGAAAACTGGAACATTGAAACAAAAAAGGTAATTCAACAGCCTACCCCCTGCAAACTGGCTGACCTGCTTGCGGCGAAGACTGATGGCAGCAGCGTTTTCGCAAGCTGATGGCTAGTTTTTTGGAAGTTAAATTGTTCGATGTGTTTGCTTGGGTGACCCTAAATGACTTCCAACAAATGGGCTCGGATGCTTCACACACATATCATTGTCCTTTGGTGCACGCTGGACCCCGTTTATTGGAACCTGCTTAGGGTCCCTGAGCTGCGGGGCTGAACTTTGCTGTCTCCCCCCCCCTCCTCCCTCCTCCCTCGCAAGGAACAGCTGGCCAAGTCTGAGCCGGCAGCCCAGCAAGTCTCGCAAACAGCCTCTGGCAGAGCTTTGCCAACTGTACGACTCAGAGAGAGTGCCGCACGCAGTGGCTTGCCCGCTTGCCAGGCAGGGGGGGTAGCTATCCACTTTCTCACTCTTCTGCTTGCGAAAGCAGGTGTTAAAAGCTAAGGAATTGGTGAAGACTGGGCCTCTGAGTTTATCTCGAAACCTCCCGAGGCTCTCCCAACTGCTATGTCTCTAAATCATGGTGGAGTTTCAAGTGGTGTGTTTTGGACAACTCCACCTGAAACAAAAACATGGACAGATCGGACTTGGGACCCTTCTCGGAACAGTTCGTTGGAAGGGAAAACCCCCATTCAAAACTGTCCGCTCTAAAGCAAACCTGGAGAGAGAACAGAAAGGCGTATATTGCCTGGTGCTCAATGAGTCAATGTGGAAATGGGGTGGCTTGCTTGAGGTGTGCCTTGAAAGCCAACCAGAAAGGGGCTCCCCATTTTGAGACAGGCTCAACTTTCTTATTTTGTTTGTGTTCTTGTTTCTTGTTTTCTTTGCTTGCCAGTCTTTGCGAAGCAAGATTCTAAGATCCCGAGGGCTGATCTCCTCATGGTGCAGCAGTGGCAGCACCACGCCTCGGCCATGGCGTGAGGCGGGCTGGTTCTGGGCTCCTTTTTGGGTGGCTTTAAACCTCTCACATCTTGGAATCTTTTTGAGGAGAATCCTCTGGGCGGGGTGATGCTTAACGGCACCTTGATACTGCTGCCCAGAAATTACGGGAAGGACCCCAAAGACAGACTGGTCTGCAGGGTTTCATTTTTGGACTCCCGCGCAAGTGTACCCGCGTAGCACTGCAGGTCTGCTTGCCAAATGTTCAGAACCTGTGCTCACGTGCACCCGCTCATGCGCTCCAAGTTCCTGAATCCAAGTTTCCGAATTCGCTAGTTTCTGAATCCAAGTTTTCGAATCACTGCTTCAAGTTTCCGAATCCGTGCCCCAAGTTTCCGAGTTTGGTTTTGAAGGTTCGAATCATGGCATGGCCAATTCCGCGGGATGGCATCATGGTCGCGAAAAACCGGTTTTAGGCCCGCTTTCTGTGGCAATGACAGATGCTAAGTATGAAGTAGTCAGGGAATTTCAGTTTGGTATCACCAGAAGGCTGGAACATGCCACCCCCGTGGCTGCCTGCGACCCGCCTTGTTTTGTTCCTGATTGTTCCTTCGGGGGGCGAGCATGGCGCGCAACCTCCACTAGTGCGGCCTTCTATGTGTGACACTCAGCTTCAGGGTGAGTTGCAGTGACGTTTGCTTTTTCTAGAGTTAGCAGGAGGGATCGGATGGTGGGTTTCATGCATTCTACAGTTTCTATCAGGGGCTTGCATTCCGTACTCTTGGGCAAGTGGTAAATTGAGGTTGCAACTCTGCAAGGGATTCAGTATACATATTGCAAGTGAACCAACCGCATCCGACCAAAGAACCAGGGCAAACAGCGGTACACTTGAGTGGTTTGGTGCTGGCATCCACCGAAGCATTGCCATCTAGGAACCGTTGACCGTTTGAAGCTTCGTGCGAGGAGAGGTAGGGCCCGAGCCCATCGCCGAGCCAAAACCGCGAGTAGCTTCAGCTTGCCTCAAGGCAAGAACCTGGGAGACCCATGGGTTGACTTGGGCAAACAGTATGCCGTGCCTCAAACTACCCATTTGTTTTCTTTTTCTCTGCGGCCAAGGAAAGCCTTGCAACAGCCCGCGGCGCTGTGCTCGCCTCCAAAAAACGGGAGACTCAAAGAAGACCAAAAATCAACGGGGGGTCGCTTCCAGACATTCCTGTCCGCTCCGGGATGATTTTCGGCGAGTTTCACCGGAGCCCTCGCTGGCTTCGTGTGCGGTCCTGGAGCAGAGTGCGAATATCCGTGCATGTCCTTTCACCAACTGGGTTGCCCTTGCAGAAGGTTGCCGTGCCCAAGAAGTGCATGCCGGGTTGGCAGGTGGTATTTAGGAAGAAGTTAAACCTGGGCAACAGTATGTCGCACCCAAAAGGGGGATTTGTGTTTCACCCCTTTACCAGACCCCACAGGCTTGGACACCCATATTTGATACTTGAGGCCAAAGAATCATGGGCACCGATTTCTCATGTTACTCCAGGATGGCACAGGGTATGGCCGAGACTCGCAGCGTAGGCTGCGACCGTCTCAGCGGGGGTCTTAATTCGGCCAAATTCGTCGGAGTCCCGAGCCTTTGGCGGGGGGCAGGGCACCGTAAAGGGCGATGCAAAGAATCTTCATCAGGGGCAAGGGCAAGGTCTTAACCCCATTCCCCAGTTTCCCCCCCCATTCCCCCCTTCCCCCCCCATCCCCCTTCCCCCCCCATTCCCCCCAGCCCCCCCCCTTCCCCCCCCATTCCCCCCCCCTTCCCCCCCCAGTTCCCCCCAGTCCCCCCCCCTTCCCCCCCCATTCCCCCCAGTTCCCCCCCCTTCCCCCCCCTGAGATTGCTATGATTTGTCGAGGATTGTGGCGGAGTTTTGTTTCCCGTCATTGCGCTCCATCGGCACCTCCCTTGCGACTCGGGGCCTCGGAATTTGCATCTGGCAGCCCTGGCACAGCCAAGCCATCAGACGGCCAAGCCCAGAGGTCACTCATTGGCTCTCGCCAGAGCTGTGCGGACGCAGTGCATCATAGCCATCAAAAGCGACAGGCGCTGGGCCTCTTTCTGTCCAAAGGAAACCTTTAAAGTTTTTGGCGTCACAGAAAGGGTTTTCATAATGGTGACGGCTTTCAGCTGAAGCCGGCCACCAGGGTGCAAACCTGTGGGGTCCCGCATCTTCAAACTCCATGTTTGCCTGCGGCCGGGCTACCTGAGCATGGATTGCACCGGCTTAAGCCGCGCCCTTCGCGACTTCGGAAGTCAAGGGTTCTGAAAGGGCCAACAGTTTGAGTCATGATTCGCTTATCGTAGCATCCTGCATGGCCGAGGGCCGCCGCAGCCTCTGAGCCACACGCTGACAAGTGCAGCAATGGGCAGAAGTGCGGCAAAGTGGCAATCTACTGAAAGGGGAAGAGCGGGTCGAACCTACTTATATGGGAAGTGCCATTGATTCGCTTGAGGTATAATAGAAAGAAGGCTTTCCTGTAGTCACTCTTCGTCTTAGGCCCATGGAATCCATGTATCCCAGATGCGTTCAACATTTGCAGGGCTTCTTGACCGATGCAGTTTAACGATCACCTTTTTCATCTGACCCAAAGGAAACTGCAATTTTGGGGGTGTAAATTTGAGGTGGATAATATATGATCGCCTTGTTCCGGCTGCTTGCCGATCTGTGGGTGTTTGCTCTTTTCCCCGGGCCGAGCTCGCCTTCATGCCATGCCCGGGTTTCTCGGCGGCTGGGCACGCAGGCGCACAGAGGGATATTCTGGATGAGCGTTTGCATCGAAATGAAGCAGTGTTGGATGGGGACCCCATGTTTCCAATCCCAAACCCGTTCTTCCACCTCCATTTTACCCGTTTTGGTTAACCTGGTTGGGGGTTGAACGACAGGATCCGCGTTTGGGACTGACTCGCATGCCCCGATGCTCAGGTCTTTCAGTTTTGATCATCTCTGGAGGGGCAATCCACCAAATTTATCATTTGGCCGGGCCTGCAAACGGTACCTGAAGGTCTGTTGGGAGGATGAGAAGGAGGTTGTTTCCAAGACCTGGCCTGGCTGTGCCACTGGTTTGAGGTTGTTTCCAAGACCTGGCCTGGCTGTGCCACTGGTTTTCCCGTTCAACAGGAGGGACGCCTTCCAACGGTTGGTCTCATCTGAATTCCGTCTTGAAGCCTTGGCTAAAACAGGTCCTGCTCGTGTTCACGTTGGCGTCAATGCCAACTGGACACGCACTCTTCCGACATCGCTTACACGGTTGATGTCCAGCGATTTCAGCGAGGGTGCTCCAACCAACGGGTGTGGTTCCCTGTTTTGACCCCCGACGTTCGAACCATTAAACATCCCTGGCACATCTAAATCGCCACCAGGCGATGGCAGGGCCGCTGACAGGCTTGGATCCCAGCCCATGGAGGAGCTGGGCCCGTGCAAAATCTATTGAAAATAGCAAACTTTTGGCTCCCATTTAAAGGGAAACCAACATGGTAACATGGTTGTTTGAATAATAGTGGCTTCAACATGGGGCAAAGAAGGGGTTGGGTCTTAGCCCGGACCGAATCCGCGGAGCTCCTGTACCGTTTTTGTTCTTTAGTGCTTTCTTCCTTAGAGTTGTTTTTTCATTTTCGGTATGTTTCCATTTTCGGATCCATTGGAGCTGCCAGAGAGAGTTTTTGTTTGCATTGGCCTTTTTCCTTGCTGGTTTATGGACCCCAAAATCAGGTTGGGGGTTGGAAAAACAGGTCTGACAGGTTGCCAAGGCAGGGGAAGCGTAGATGAGCAGTCTATGGTAAGAATGGGGAGAGAGAGAGAGAGAGAGCTGACTTTCTATTTCAATTTCTCACAAAAGACAGGGGCACCAGCTAAAATTTGTCCATGTCCATTAAGGAGACCACCGATTTTGACCGTTCAAGCGGTGCAGGTTTGGCTTTTTCGGGCGCTGAGGCGCGCAAGGCTTTGAGCCCTGCTGGACCCGCGGCGGCTTCACCTACCAGGACATGAAGTGCCAAACAGAGACGAGAATGCTCCTAAGGATCTATGACTATTTTTTGCACACACACACACACACTCAAGGTGCCAAAGAAGTACTGACAATTGTCAACGCTTCGCGCTGCCACCTCGGTCGGGTTCAAAACAACGAGGCGAGCTTGAGCAAATGATGCCAGCAGGGCTGAGCACTCTGGCGAGGCTGCAGCGCAAAGTGATTGCCGATTTGGCTGGTTGAGTCTGGAGACGCATCGATTTTGGCTTCCTTTCAAACAGGAGCAAAAGTGGCTCCGTCATGCTGGCGAACAACTCTTTTTTGGGATTTAGGAACCTTGAATTATTCCAGATAGCAAGACTGTCAGCCAACGATGGGTCCACTTGGACGGGCGCTGGCTGCTTCCTTTGGATTCGGAGAGAAGGAGCCTCACCTGGAGGATCGCTGCCAGGGCATTGATCGAAGCCAATCCCTTTTTATGTCTCCCAACGGCCACCGCCCAGTTTCAGCTCAAAGCTTGCTGGTGTCAAAGGGACAGCCGCAAGGAAACTTAGCTTCTTGAAGCCCCCCCTGTTTAGCGCTCCCCCATGCCATTTGAAACTCAAAACACGCTGAGTTGAAAAGTTGTGTATGGAAGCCACTTTCTGACATATTTTCATCATGGGCTTCGTCTGCACGTCTTCGTCCCCTTCGTTCTTGGCTTAAGGCTCCCCCCGAAATCCATAAGAAAGCAGCTTTCCAACTCGCAAGCAGCGAAGCATTGGCATAGCAGTTTTGCCGCAAAAGGATACAGCAGTATTTTTCCGGCAGCAGCTACACAGCACGAAGGCATGTCCCTCAAAGAAAGCATAGCGCCAGTTTTTTTTTTTTTTTTTTTTTTTTTTTTACGCCGAACCAGCAGGGACGAATGAGCATCAGGCAATTCTACCGCCAAAATATACGGCAGTACTCCTGGCAACAGAGCAGCAACATGTCGCACAGTGTCCACCTAGAACATAGCGCTAGGTTTTCTCGCGTGGGAAGGGGTTCCCATCCAAGCAGAAACCAACCAAACAAAAAATGTGGCGTTTGTTCGTGCGGGCATTGCGCATCTGAAGGGTTTTCAAAAAAGAAATCGAGATGCAAACAACCATCTCAGGGCCCGTGTCCATTTCAATCGGCATAGGACTGCTGCGTGGGGCTGCCGAACCCCTCCTGCTTTGATGCCGTGTTCACGGAGGCCTGGCGGAGCGGCGAACGGGCGGTCCAAAATTGCCCTTTTCAGGTTGGTTTAAAGGCAAACCAAACGGAAACCCACCATCTTGGGGGTCCCTCTACCTGAACACCTCACTTGGATCGGCATCATGTTTTTCCATTGGTTGGCGGAGGAAAGGGCCTCCAAAAAGCCAGTTAGATGTGTTCGAAAATAGACACCCTCTGTTTCCTGCAAGAGACCGTGGTTTGGATTGCGGAAAAACCACTAATTTGAAACCAACTTCCAAAAACGACTGGGGGCGGGAACGCAATTGGAGAAATTCCATCTCCAGGCTGAGCTTATGTTTTGTGGACTCCAAAGACTGAACGTTGCTCTAGATCCGTTTGAGATGAATCTGAGGGATACCGCCCTAGATGAGTGCGAGGGAAAACCAAACGACCAGTCAGGCTTCACGTTAGGGTAACTGAGTTGGAAGTCAGGTAGACCCTTGGTTCAAGGAGCGAAGCACGCGCAACCAGCTTGTTCTTGTTGGAGGCTCCTCGGCACGAAAATACAACTGCCAGGAACGCTGCTGCATGGACGCGGACAACGACCCTGAGGTGTGGGGGTCCAAGCTTGGCCTGCGTTTGCTCCCTTCTTAGCTGTATTCCTGACAGATGCAATTAGGTTAAAAATTGGGAAGGCGGGGGGGAGAGGGGTTGAGGCGCATGGCAACGATATCAGCCGCTTCAGGTTTGTTGGTATTACAGCGATGCTGAAAGTGTTCCAGTGATGAGCATACAAACATTCCCCAACCCCCTTTGCGGCCATTGTTCCCTTTTCAGACCAACATTTCTTTGTCAACGCCAACTATACAACTAACTTGGAACCCAGGAGAGGAGCTTCAAGCAAAAACATGTAACAAAGAATCAGAGCTCGCACCGTCCAAAGCGGCCGACGCGACTGGCCAGTGCTGGCGCTTCGCACGGCGGCACATCTCGTCCGCGCTGCGTCTGGTGGAGGCGCAGGCGGCTCTCCCGTCCGCGTCCGAGGAAGGCATCAGCAGGTTGGGACATTTTGGCCTCAAGCGAGAGTCGGGCATTCAAGACGTTCCTTTACTTTACTGGGTTTCACTTGGGGGGGTCGGCCTGTTGCATCTTGATTTTCGAAATTACGCTAGGGGGGTTCGCTTCAATCGAGTGGGGCACTTGTTTAAACATCCTGACTTTCCCTGACACAAGCCAAAATGAAGCAACATCCATTTAGACATCTTTAAACGAGAGGTTGGCGCGAACCTGGTAAACACCACGCCAACAGGCCAAAACCCGAAGCAGAACATTGGAGTTGGTTGGGACCAAATTTCTACCCTTCTGCCAGGGTGGGAGCAATCCTTCAAATTCGGTGTGACATTTGATGGTTGAAACTCTCTTACACATGCTGGTTGCATCTATCTTCAGGTATTTCGCGCGTCCATTCAGCCTTTGTCTCCGGGCGTTCAGGCTGCCTCTGGCCCGGAAGCCTTGCAGCTGCAGGCGTGGCAGCGGCCGACCCATATTCCTTGGCATTCTTCAATGTTTCTGTATGAAGCCAGCCGCTATCATGGGTGCTCAGTTTTGGGGCGCAGATCTGTGTGCCATAAGTGTCCAGATGTTGCAAGTGCCCTTCTCTACACAGCAGCTTTGGCTGTTTCATGGGTGTGTCTCCGAGCCCCCAAAATGGGTGGTTTCCCTGTGAAACCCAAAGGGATTTCACCATCATAACAAAACAATCACACCCTGATGGTCTCTGGCTTCCAGGCGTTTTTCCCCGCTGGGAGCGCCTCAGGCGCAGGCGTTGCGCCGCTACAGCGAGGATGACGGGCCAGGGGCCCAAGTCAGGGCTAGACAGTGAGAGTGGCGGAGGATGAGCGCATTTAGGTTTGTTGCCTTCTGAGGGTGCCATGTTTTTCTTTATTATATGATAATATGTATAATATTGGGGGGGTGAAGGAAAGCGTCAGTTGGTCAAGGGGCATGGCGCGACCAAATCCAAGAGAGACGTGTGTCGAATGCCAGTAGTCCTTTTGTTTGTAGGTTTCTTCATGATATTGGAATGCCCATTTCTAGCCGGTCAACTCGGCAGGTCAGTGCAGTTGAAAGTGCCCAAGGCTGCTCTATGCATTTTGCTGCAACGGCTTTCACAACGAGTACTGCTGGGGGCCCGCAGTGCCCGAGGCGGGCATCATCATCAAGCAGAGGGGTTTCAGGGCTTGCCATGGACCCTCTAAGGGCCGGGGGCTTTCCTTTTTGCCCTATCAGGAGCGGTTCAAAAGGCAAGCCGCAAGCCGTAAACGGTGACCCACACACTGCAATTTTGGCGCCATATCCAGGTTTCTCAAAATAGAGACCCTCTAACATGGGTGGTTTCCTTTGTTTTCCCCTCAACCACCAGCCAAAAGGGGGTTCACCACTTTGAGAGACCTCCACATGCTCAGCTTTTCCTCTGGACCGAAGCATCTCTGCCAGCTGTTGTGACTAGAGACTCGAGACAGAGGCGTGCAGAGGTCCAAGGAGTGAGCCAAGATTCCATGTTTTGGTGCGCAAAGGTGGACTGAAACTCAAGGTTTCCTTGTTGGGGAAATCATCTACCCTGCCTTGGGTTACAGGACCCCTAGTTTTGACATACGCAGATGGGTTGTCTCCAAATTCAACCCCCGAAATCACTGGAGTTCCTTTTGTTTCCCTTTGGAAGAGGGCACCTTGAAACAAGCGGGCGTGATTCGCTCCTGACCATTTGCCAGGCACTTCTGTCCGATCCTGATGCATGGGAAGGGGCGCGCGCCTGAATTGTCATTCAGCCTGGTTGGTCAAAAGGGCGTGTCGTTTTTGGGCAACATCCCATATTTCAGGTTTTGGACATGTTGCCAAATTTTCAAATTAAGTTTCCGACTGGGTTGATGCGTTGGCGGGGACAAGGAACCCCAGGGAGCTTTTGGCCTGGGGCAATGGACTTGTAGAAACTGCAGAGTCTGTGAACTCGGCCCAGGTGTCTGACATCACACCCTGGCCTTTGGCCTCAGAGTGACGCCAATGATGGTGGGTTTGCTTTGGATGTGCTCGTCAAATGTAGCCTCAGTCGTGGAGGAACTTGTTTTCCAGGGCACCCCGTTCAAGTTCCGTGTTTGTTTCTGGGAGGGCAGAAATGATAATTGTAAACGCTTCGCGTTGCCCGCCTCGGCCCAGCCTAGTTTGAGGGAAGGGTCAGGAACACCGAAATCCAGTGTTGGGAAGGTCCGAATACCTGCTGCTCCAGACAAGTCAGACAAGCCGGCCTCGCCTGGTTGGGCTGGGCCACAGGCTAGTCTCAGACACATCAGATAAGCCTGCGCTGGGCCTGAAGCTAGTCTCGGGCAGCTTGGCTGGACCTTGCTTGCGTGGGTTGTTGGTTGAGCTGAAGCTAGTTTACGGCGGGCTGGGCAGCCGCACTGAGGGGGCTGGGCTATGGCTGGGCTGGGCCTGAGGCCAGTTTCAGACACGTCAGACAGGCCTGGCCAGCAGGCGGACTGGGCTGGGCTAGACGCTAGTTGAGCCCAGGCTGGTGAGGCCCAGTCTCGGCGCTAGATAGGCTGAGGCCTGCGAGTCTCAAACCGGGTGGGCTTGGGTGGGGTTGGCTTAGGCGGGTTGCTGGTTGGGCTGGGCCTGAAGCTAGTCTCAGCCACGAGGCTGCGAAGCCATGGGTGGTGCTGGGCAGCTGGATTATGGTGTTGGTTGCGCCTGGAACTTCGGCTGGCTGGGCTGAGCTGTGCTTGGGCGGGTCGCTGGATGGGCTGAGGCTGGGTAGCGAGTTGCTGGCTAGGCTGGGTTTGAGGCGAGTCGAGACACGCCAGCAGGCGGGCTGAGGGACTGGGCCTGAGGCTAGTCTCAGGCTGGCATACCTTGAGACCAGTCTCAGACTGCGCCGAAGGGGCCTGGTCAGCCTGGGCTGCTGAGTAGCTGGCATAGCTTGAGACCAGTCTCAGACACGTGAGACTGGTCGTTGGCCTGAGGCCAGTCTCAGACACGTTAGACAAACCTGACCTTGGCACACTGGGCTGAGCCTGCTGGTGGGCTGGGAGCTGGGGGCCGGTAGTGGCTGGCATGCCCTGAGATGCGCTGGGGCCTGGGCTGGGCAGGCTTTGGGCTGGGCCTGAAGCTAGTCTCAGCCACGTTGCTGGCTGCCGGGCTGGGCGGGCTGGGCTGAGCTGTGCTTGGGCGGGTTGCTGGATGGGCAAGGCCTGTTTCATACACACTTGGGCCTGAGGCTGGGTGGCGAGTTGGCTGGGCTGGGCCTGAGGCCAGTCTCAGGCTGGCGTACTTTGAGACGGGGCTGGGCCTGCTGGGGCCAGACGCGAGCAGGAGGTCAAGGCCTGGCCGCCTGGGCTGAGTTGCTTGGGCAGCCGGACTGAGGGGCTGGGGCACGTCAGACGGGCTTGGTGGCTGGCATAGCTTGAGACCAGTTTCAGACACGTTGGCGTTAGACAAACCTGACCTAGGGCCTCAGCTGGGCGCTGGGCTGGGCTTGCTGGATGAGGGTGGGGCTGACAGGCCTGGCCAGCAGGCGGGTTGCTGGTTGGGCTGGGCCTGAGCCTAGTCTCAGACACGTCAGGCAGGCCTGGCCACCAGGAGGTCATGCTTTTCAGGACAAAAAAGCATTTTTTTAGTGATTTTCGCAATTGTCAGCACATTTTCGACAAAAATGGACCCATGGAGCTGGACGCCGACGAACCCCGAAAATTTCAAGGCCCGCCGGACAGGATTTTGGGCCAGCCGACCTGGGTGGGGGGGGGCCCAGCAAAATTTTGGGGGGGAAAAGCGAAGATTCTCTTTGGAGAAGAGATCTGAGCGCCCTTGGCCCCTTTGGGGCCGAGGCGAATTAGCTCTCCGCACAGAAGCCAGGCGCACTTTCTGCGCACTTTCTGCAAACATGAGTTGAACCTATATCGATAATATATATCTATATATATATATACACGTGATCAAGCCGGAGCTGTGTTGTGTGAGTCGGAGAGCTACGGTCAGGGCCAAAAACAAGGCAGCATTGCATAGATGCTGTTAGGGCTTCAGTTTATTTTCCAGTTAGTCAGTTGATTGAAGATTCGCTACATCTTGACGTTTGCATGGCGCGATGGAGACCTTTGAGAGTTGCATCGGCGCTGGACAAATCGAGGGCTGGTTCTGCCATTCCTCCTCCGAAAATGAGAAGAGAGGCTTCGGGCACGTAACTTCTTATAGTTTTGAAGGCCAGCTGTTCTTCCACCTCCAGAGGAGTCCATGGCTCCGGGGTGTCAAGTACTCCCGGAGAGATCCCGTGCTTTTCGAGGTGGTGGAGTTCAATGGTCGCTGCGAAGCAGTGAAGTTGGGTTTACCTCAGACTGAAGATGCAGATGCCAAGCCAGAGGCCTCTGAGTTGCTGGGTCAGACGCTGGAGGGGCGAATGACGTCCCACTGGCATGTGGTCAAATCACAGAGTTGGGGCTTGGTTGAGTCAGATTACTTCAAGGGCTCTGTCTTTTGGCACATGTCCGACAATCCAGGAATGAATGACATCCAGTTCGAGCGAGGGGACGTGGTGGAATTCGAGCTGTACATCCACTCTGCCAGAGGACAGCAGGTGAGAGCCAGGAATTTGCTGTTCATTCGGGCTGCAGACAAAGAGCCTGAGCGGCCTCCCAGCCCAAAGAGAGAAAAGAAGCGGCGATGGCTGGCAAACTGGCGCAAGGGCCCGCCCCCGGACTGGAACTGCAAAAGCTGTGGTTTTCACAACTTCGGACGAAACAGGAATTGTCTTGGCTGCGGGTACCCGCGACCTCCCAGGGAAGAGTGGCCAGCCGAGGAGGATGAGGCAGACGAGGCAGCTGGCACAGCTGACATGAGTCCTGTCCAAGCTCAAGCTTTTGCCCCGGCCGAGCTCCAGAGCGAGCAAGTATGGCCGAGCATGCAGCAGCCATGGACGTGGCCAGAGCCGGCAATAGAGCATATAGAGCAGTTTGAGCATTTTGAGCATTCGAGCCAACCGCCACAACTTGAAGCACCAGCGCCCAACGTGGATCCAGAGTCGCCTGCAGCGCAGGCCCTGAGCGCCTTCCAGAACATTATTGGGTCTGGGAGGCCAGCGGAGGACTTAATTGCGGAGGTTAAGCAGTGCCTGGATGAAGCGGTCAAGGCTTTCGGCGACGACCGTGCCGCAAGGCAGGCGAAGCAGGCTTTTGCTGTGCAGCTGGCGAGGCATCCCTGGTTTGCACAGACCGGTTACGAGGTCCGCTTCCGGCCCGCCGCTGGCACTGTGGAGCTGGGGCTATCCGCAGCTGCACGAGCTCTGAAGCGCAAGGCGCAGTTCTGAGAGATCGGCGGCAATAGAAAAGAGTCTGGGGTCCATTTGGGAACATGGGGGAACTCACACAATGTCAATTTCCCTACAAAAACCAGGGGACTCGCGAGTCTTCCCATGTCCTAAGGAAATGTAGCTTTGACCACGCTCATGGCCCAGGTATCCCAGGTGCTGCTTCCCACGGCTGCGCGCCATGCTGAAGGTGAGCAAGCCTGCCAGCGGATTCTCCCTCCTTCGGGTCTGTGTGTGTGTGTGTCCTTTTAGGGTGCCCCCCTTTTTGGGGGTTGGTTCAAAGGCAAGCCCACCCACACATACTCAAAATTATTCCTTCCACAAACCCTGACTGGCTCCACCAGTCTGCCCCCTGTGTTGGACCCTTACCCTCCAACAAGGACCCTTCGATCACCTTTTTGGTTTCCTCCCGTTGGCTTTCTTTCTGGGGTGGGGTTGAGCTATTTAGGGGTGTCCCATTTAAGAGGGCATCCGGATCATCTACGACAAAAGTCCGAAAGGTTGGTTACCCAGCGTGTGATGTCTCCTTTTTGAGGGTGTTTCACTTTAAAATATCAATTGAAACAAAGGAACATGTAGGGAAAAACTAAAGACACAAAATGGAAACAAATTAGGGAACCCACTCGGCATCCACGGCGCAGACGTGCGAGGCACCGGCGCCGGTGTGGATGCGCCGCCAGCTGGCGCGGGACCTGCGTGCCATGGCGCAGCCCGGGCGGCCGGGCCTGCCGTGGCCGTCAATCCGGCGCCGGTTTGGCGAGTGTCGGAGGTCACAAGGGTCAGAAAGGGAGTGGTTTGCCCGTTGATTTTCTCTTGATGCAAGCCAAAAAAGAGTATCCTCAACAAGCTTGGTTCGACCTGCAACCTGCTAACTTTTTGGAAACGCATTGTTCGCTGACTGGTTAGAAGCTGAACTGTTTGCAGGGTGTGGCAGAGCAGCCTCGTCTTGTGGATACGAACCACACTGAGTCACAGGCAGCAGAAGAGAAGATGATGGCATGCATATCAGCATAGTGCAGGGCACGGTCAACATTGATTGTGCCGCCCTGCACTTTCTGCTCGAGATTTTGTGATCGTGCCAATGTCATTCGCTTGACTACAGTGGATGACGGTCAATAAAATGACTGCTGCGCCTTTGTTAGCCTTTGTCCGTGCTCCAGTTTTGAGATATGGAAAAGAGATCGAACCTTGCTCGCAACATGTCGAGTCCTTTCTTTCTCGTGAGTGTTGAGCATGGCAGGCCAAAAGAAGTCGAAGCCTTAGCAGCTGCTGAATCGATTCCGATCAGCCCATCCCCTTGTTGGAGGAGTGAAAAGCATCATTGGTGATGGAACAGAATTGACCACCTGCCATTGATGACCTGACAGTTTTGTTTGAAAACAGTTTTGGCAGGAAACGGCACGCGATTAAACCTGAGTTTGCAAGGCTCTTTCGAGCTCGTGCTACGGTTGTCTGTGAGCTCCCTAAAAGCGCTGGGTGTGCCGGATCATCCATTAATTTGCACATACGTTTGCAGAACCTCCAAAAAGAAGGGTTCCTCTTTGCGTTCTAGGTTCACGGGAGAATTCGGACGTTTGCAAAGTTTTCACTTTGGAGTCTCCCACCAACCCGTTGAGCAGAGCCCAAGCGTGCCTGAGGTGTTGAGGCACTTCACCGGAGCCCAGGAGACCTTGCAAGCAAGGGGCTGGAGTAGAGACAAGAAGTACGTACTGGCACCAATCAACCCCGCACAGGTGATTGGGAGTTTCAGGTATTGATGCACTGATGAAATGACAGACGACTGATGGACTGAGGGACTGAGGGACTGAGGGATTGAGGGACTGAGGGATTGAGGGACTGAGGGATTGAGGGACTATTATGTGGATTGGCGGAGCTGATGGAACTGATTTGTTTGATGGCAATCAGCTCGGGGAACGGGCTTCCAACAACAAACCCACCCAATTTTCGATCACAAGAGGAGTACTCGTACCAACCCCTTTGGCGAGCCCAAGCATCTAGGGATTGTTTGTAGGCGCCAGAATCATGTCTTTTGTTTGAGCTCCTCCGAAGTGGTTTCATTGCCAGGGATGTTTTGTACGGAGCTTGCACACACTTGTACGAGGGGTGTATTTATACATATAATATGTATATTATATATAATATCTATATATTTAATATGCTGTGTTTTGAACTGAGACGCAGCTCCGACCTCCGCATCTGCAGCTAGTTGAAATGCTTCTGACTGACAGGACGGCCGGCACCCCATGCCGGAGCAGAAGCGGCTTTGTGAGTACCACATCTCTGGGGGCCAGGCGTGTGGGGAAGGGTGGGGGGGGGGTTTGCGGAACGAGTGGGCGTTGTTGGAATCCTGAGAAGGAAACAAGCAAAGACTTGCTGGTTCGGAGAGACACACGCTGTGCGGATGTGCCAATTCGAGCTGGATTTGCATCAAAACAAGAGAGTTTCAGGCTCGGGGTGTGAGGTGAAAAAGTGAACATCCTGCCCCGGTTTTTCGGTCTTGGTGGCACTGTCTTGCAACCTGTGGGAACAGGGTGGCTGTGGTACGGGCTGCGGCGTGAATGGCCGAGTGAAAGCCGGCCACTGCCAGAATTCATGGAAGGTCAGTTTCAAGGGCCTCAGTCATTGCTTGGAACTAGTCCTCGGAATATCCCACCTGCCAACCCGGCCTTTCAGAGGATTCCCTTCCAAACCGCCTACCCGCGGCCGCGATTTGGCTATAGCTTTGAGAATCGCTGGGCCGCGGGTACGTGCGGGATGGTCCGCCGTGACCTCAATGTTTTTTTAGATGTGCCGCTATTTGGTTGCCTGTTTGCTTGTTTGCTTGTTTACTTGTTTGCCTGTTTGGTTTGTTGCTTGTTTCCTTGTTTGTTTTTTGCTTGTTTGCCTGTTTGGTTGTTTGATTGCTTGCTTTATATGCGTTGGTTGGGAAGTTTCAAAGGCGGAGTTGCCGTAGATCCTTCCTTTTTCTTGGAGCATGTTTTGACGGATATGTGTGGTTTGTCGACTCATGTAAGGCCCACTTCAGAGGGTTCATCATCCAGCATGGCTCGGGACTAGGTTTCACAGGTTAACATGGAAGTGGGAAGAAGGCAGCCCGTCTCTTTGTCCCAGGCCGGAACACTAGCCCTTTCTCCGAGGCTTCGCTCAGGTCCAGCTGAGCAGCGGCTCAGTGGCCTATGCCATCCTACAGGCCAGTGGGATCCAACGAGCTCTGCGAACCCGAGCAGGCAATCAGGGGATCAAGCACCTGTTGGATTCCTTAGATGTTGGCATTCCAGATGTTTTTGTCAGAGTTCTCGCTTCATGTTTGTTGGGAAGCAGCAGGCGGAATTCAGGATTCATTCCCCTGTCCGCAGCGTGTTCGGGAACGACTCGCCGCCGTGTGTGTTTGTGTGCAGGCGGATGGGCCGGGATCCCCAATATGCTGAGGCAATTGGTGCATTGATCGGAATTCATCCATTCTCTCTTGACTCTTGACTTGGGTTTGTGATCAGTGCCTTTTCGAACTTCGTCTCTTTCTGCTGCTTGCGGTGCTGCTTCCGATTGTCTTTCCTGCATGTCGAGTTGGAGGGGCACTGCGGGCAACCCCTTTTCGGACCCCTCCCCAACCAGGCAACAGGTTTTGTGTTGACCGGTTTTGGGGTGCAAAACCCGGCTTGTGCATGAAGCCAGGGTGCCAAAAGGGCAAAAGGGCAATGCTCGCCGGGCGGTCCTTCGCTCGGGTCCGGAGGTCCTTCCACGAGGCGGAGGGCTGCCCCTTCGCGGGGCTCAGAGACACGGGCCGCAAGGCGGGCTGGGGGGTTTTGGTCGGTCCGACTCGGCAGAGTTGGAGGGTTGGGTTGTGAACGGGAAAGAGCTGCAATGTTTGGAACATTGAGGTTTGCAGTTTGCGGGAACAACAGAGGCGCAAACAAGAATGGACACAAGTCCATAGGAATCCTGAAAGCTGACAAGTTGACCGACATTTCATTGCCAAATTTTACCAGGCCGTCAACCAATCTGACCGAATTTTTGCGGGCCATCGCCAGTCCCAATTTTTGACCGAGATTTACAACATTTGTTAAAACTTTACTGGACCGTCCCTTGCCCGAACGTCCACCAATTTGACCAACAGCTACAGCCAATTGCGCGGTCTCCGGCCCGAAAGTCACCCAAATTTACCGTTGAATTCTCCACTTTTTTCCAGGCCGCCCAGCTTGAATGTCACCTTTTTCCCAAGCCGTCCCCAGCCTGAATGCCACCGATTTTGCCCGAAGTGTTTTTGACGCAGTTGTGAACACGGATGCCCTCCCATAGCTGATTGTTTTTGCCTGACGACGTCCACGTTTTCCCCTGGACACCTCTCGCTTGTCCCAAAACGCGACGCCCTGCCCTTCTAGACCCACCTTTGCCCCAAGCGCCTTAAAAGCAGTCGCGCGGATTTGTCTGCGAGGTGTCCGTAAACCGCTTCCTGCCGCCCGTTAAGCCACAGGCGTGGGCAGACCGGGGGGGGGTGGGGGGGTGGGGGGGGCGGGTGGGGGAGGGTGGGGGGGGATCTCCGCAATTCTTGTGGGTCCAAGAGTTGCAATTTGTTGAACAGTAGGCCAGGTGCGGAACTTTGCGAGGTGTTCATGCAACGACCTGACCCGTCGCTGCTTATGCTCCCAACATCCAAAGTATCCCGCTTGAATCCATGACATAGTGTCCGAGCAACATGAGCATGATCTTGGCCAGGGTCCCATCGCGTAAAGTAGCATCCTCAAGTTTAGGGCTATAGAATCAAGAACGACTTGTTTGAAGCAGGGAACATTTGTTATATAACTACCTGTATTGAAGCTAGGAGCTGAAAGCTTAGCACAGGCTCTGGTGTTGTTTGCCATTTAGAAGGATTATGTCATGAGGAGGTGTTTTATGGCGAGCTCACCTGGAGGTAAAATCAGCCAACGATACTCATTGCAAAGACCGATGTATGATATGCCAAAGATACGCGAGCCACGTGCAGCCACGTTGGCCATGCCTTGCGCTTTGCCGCCTTTTTGGCCTGCGTTACTGCGATCCGCGCGCCTCGCGCAAAGGACATCATTTGCATCGGCGGCAACCTTAGACCCAACTCATCGTGCTGATTGCCCGAGGTTGGTGGCTTGGAGATATGTTTTATTTAGCAGGACTTGGTCCTTTGTTTTCCCATGCCCGTAAACTGCAATGGCTCGCTTGACGGGCTTCAGCTGTTGTTTATACTGAGTCAGCACAGTGTGCCAAGCTCGGTTCGTGGCCATTGGCTGCTCCCAAAAAAATAAACCAACATAAGCAACGGCCTTCCCTGACTGTCCTGGGGTGACTCTTATGAATGACGAGTGTACCATCACGCTAGGCAAGAGCCAAGAGCCGTCAAGTGAGCTGTGAGCAAACATCTCACGTTTGTACTAGTCAAGACACTCCTTTACTTGCGGTTGGTAGGGATGGTCACCGACCTCTTAACGGGGGCTTTGGCAAACCAATGTAAAGGTCCTAAGTGAACCATCACCCTGGCCCAAAGAGTTTTGACCCCGGCGCACATGTTGGTGCCAGAATCATTTTGGTCGGGCAACTTTCATTTCACCTGGCCCACTTTGCAGGGAAACCAAGATGAACGTGGGTTGCCCTTAGAGAGATTCCCAAGAATATATTGAAGGTTGCTTCGGGCTATGTGGCCGCACTCGTTAAGAAGAATCTCTAAGAAACCAAGGTTTTGGGCCAAAACCTGATCTGCGGGAAATCAGGCTTGGCCCAGGGAAAGCCTTACCTCCCAGAGAGTCTCCCGTGCGCCAAACCCTCGGACTTTTCTTCTTCTTGGGCTTCTTAAGTGTCTAGATCCCTTTTTGGGTGGTGGGTCCCCAAACTAGTCAAATCGTATCGTCGATTTCATGAGGGGTTCCCTTCTTCTACCTTTGGGTTACTTGTTGCAACTGGGCTTCCCTTATAAGAAGCAGACGGTGCCTTGGTCCGCGCTTTAGGCCTGAACTACCGCGCCCACGCGGACGAGCTGAAGCTCCCGTACCCCAAGAACCCAGTGGCGAGGGGCCACGGAGGGGGTGAAGTGAGCCTCGTGATCCTTGGTGTTTTTGTTTCTCCTCCTGGTCAGGTTGTCTCCGTGGACATTTGGGGGTCTGGGAAATCAAAAGAACGGGTAGTTGAGGGAAAGGCGACAGTGAAGGGGACGGCGCATTGCTTGGGTGTGGCAAGAAGCCTTTCGAGTCCTTCCCGTGGGCTTTGGGTGAACCCTATGAAGTGGCAGGTGTTCAGTGTGATCCACGTAGCGAATTGAAGGATGTATTGGTGGCAAAAAAGGGCATTGAAACTCATCATGACATGTGAGGAAATTCTTGGTGTTGATGAGCTACTCTGTGGGAGGTGCAAAAACTACTGGGATCAGTTTTGCGACTTGGTCTGTCAATTTGGACCCCATACCGTGTGATACTTCCTTGTGAGGTTGCTGTAACGAGAAAACAAGAAAGGAAAAACAGCCAAACCCTTTGAGCGCCCTTTGATTTTGAGACAAGCCTTGTGCCAGTGGTGTGCTTGTGTGGGAATGTGTCAAGCTCGGTCCAGAAGCGGGCGATTTTCAAAGTACCTGGAAATACATCCTGTCAGGCAGCTTTCCATGCATGGGTGCTAGGTGCTGCTTTTTTTCCGCAGGCAACCAGGTTTGGTATGACTCGAGAGATCCGAGCTTGGCATGTCTGCCTGTGTGCTTGTGAGCGGATATAAGTACACGGGGATTTCTGCCCTGCCATGTGTCAGGAAGATCCTCATCGAACGACATGGCCTGGTAACAACTCGCAAGGGTCGGGATTTGCATGGGTCCTGCGGTTTCTTGCATCAATGCTTTTGGGCTGCTTGGAAGCCCCTCATTGACCGGGGTCATCCAGGCGCCCACGCGATTACACACCCAACTGGTTATTCATTTGACGTACAAGTCATGACTTGGCGCACTTCCCTTTTTCCGCCATGGGGGGAGGGGAGGCGGTGACTTTGACCATGGTACAATCCCAGCGAGACAAAACAACAACCGGTAGGGTTGAGCATCACAATCCTTGACTTCTTTTCCTCAAAAGGGTCGGACATTGCATTTGAACGTTACCTTCTGTGATATTGGGCAACAAAGTATGGTCGGGAATCACATTTTCCTTGTTTGGTCCAGTTTTCGCCAAGGTAAACCTTCTATTGGGGTGAGGACGCTCCAAGGGTTGGGCTGAAGCCTTCGAAGCCGGGGCCGGGGCCAGGTGTTCATGAAGCCCACCAGCTGCGCGGCGGGCCACGGGCATCCCATCGCGCCTTCGGCATGCGAAAAGCGCAAGCGGGGGGGGTTGCGGTGGTTTTGTCCGGCGGGACCCCGGAACGCAGCAATCACATCTTGCATGCACTGAACCGACATGTCGAACAGTTTGTCAGTTTATCCATATTCAAGTCACATAGTCACATATAGTGGCCACAGTTCCTCTGTTTAACTCAAAGTGAAGCAACAAGACTCTAAGAAGCGGCATGCTTGACAAAATGGGCGAAGACCTTGTGATACGTCCACACTTACACCGTGGAGGAAGCGCGAAAATGCGAAATCAGCTTAGCGCGCCGCATCAACATGGCACAGCACCAGTCCGCGTGTGCCAGGGGCAAAACTGCTGGCTTGTGAACCAAACAACAGCTTCAGACGGCCGCTTTCTAGGTGACGAACGACCTCCATCAGCCTGCTGCGCTAACATGGGTTGCTTTTCTTTGACGTTAAACCATTTTGGGGTGGTTTTCAAGGTCAACCAAAGGGGGCGCAGAACTGAGACAACCCCGTATGAGGCAGACAGCTCAAAACTTGCACTTCGTCGGTGGACAAGCTTCATCATTATAGTTCTCTGGACGGAGCGGCAACTGGTTTGTAACCACTAGTCTTCGTGGAATTCCACTGGAGCTGCTCCCTTGTCCAGGTTTGTTTCTGGCAATTCTCACTGGGCTCGGTGCAATACAAGAAACGCCAGGCTGATCTATTGGCATGCAAGGGACGTTTGGCCACATCGGCGTTTGCTGGTAGTCGATGTTGCGACAAGGGTTTGCATCAAGACTCCACAAATCAGGGGGCCCTACAAATTTGGGTTTCCCATGGTTTCTATTTGTACCCAACAAGAGGTTCAAACCCACGCCCCTCTTCCTGAGACTCAGCGTGAGGTGGCCCCGCGGGTGTCGGAGAAGATGGACTACGAGGTCTGGTGGAACGCTGTCAAGTCAAAGCGTCCAAGGGGCAATTTTGTTTCTCAAGGGTTTCCCAATGTTTCCCCCATTGTTTCTTGTTTTGGTCCAAGTGTCACAATAGGGTTTTGGATTCCCCGGTGGCTTTCATTGTGGTTTCCCTTCAAAGCAGCCCCAAAAACGCACCCTCGGCAAAACAGCAAAACCCAAGGGGGGACAACCCAATTTGCCCATGTCCCTTGGGGAACAAGTATGGTTGTTCGTGGGTTTCCTGGACACCAGTTGTTTCTTGATTGGATTGAGAATAAATTCCCTGAGGATTTGTTGACTGTGACTTTCAGCAAGTTGCAGGTTTCCAAGCACCTGGTAAGAATACACGGACCAAGTTGCTGGCGTCATATTGCATAGACGGCGCGTTCCAAATTGTAAACGGGCCAAGAATCGCAAGGCTAGATGAGTTTAGTTGCCAGCGTTTTCTCAGGTATGTCCCATCGAAACACCGCTGTATGTACACCTCAAGCCGGCCACGCTCAGCTCAAACAGGGTCATGTTGATTGGGTTCGACACGGCAGATTGCAGCAGGCAAGCAGCATCATGCTTGCAATTTTGTTTTGTGTGTGTGTGTGTGTTTGTTTGTTTGTTTGTTTGTTTGCTTGCTCGCTCGCTCGCTCGTTGGCTTGCTTGCTTGCTTGCTCGCTCGCTTGCTTTCTTGCTCGCTTGCTTTCGTGCTTGCTTTCTTGCTTGCTTGCTTGCTTGGTTGCTTGGTTGCCTGGTTGCTTGGTTGCTGGGTTGCTTGGTTGCTTGCTTGCTTGCTTGCTTGCTTGCTTGCTTGCTCGCTTGCTCGCTTGCTTGCTGTTTCGTTTCTTTTTTGTTTGTTTGTTTGTTTGTTTGTTTGTTTTTGTATTATATTGTTTGTGTTGGTTCGCTTTTGTATTGTTTTTTTAATTGCTTTGTTTGTTTGTGTATGTTTGCTTTGTGCATGTGTGTGTGTGTATGCTTTGTTTGTATGTGTTTTTTGCTTGTTTTGTCTGGCGTACTTGCTCGCGGCTTGCTTTCGTGCATGCGTGCGCGCCTGCATGCTTGCGTGCTTGCGTGCTTGCGCCGTGCGTGCGTGCGTGCTTGCGTGCGTGCTTGCTTTGCCTGCCTTGCCTTGCCTTGCTTTGCCTTGCCTTGACTTGCCTGCTTGCTTGCATGCTATGTCGTTTGCTCGTGTGTTGTTTCGTTGTTTTTGTGTTGTTGCTTTCTCTTGACTACATTTTATCCCAGTCTCAGGTGTGCGCACCAGGGATGGATGAAACCCTATGACTGGGATAAACCACCCAACCTGCTGGTGATTCGGTTCACAGCATGAGGTTCCTGCCTCTGTGCCCTGGGAGGAAAGGCTCACCACCTTTTTTGAGTCGATGCTAGCCACAAAAGCCCTGCTCCAACCACCTATCGACTGGTGCAGATGTTGGACTTGCAGTGGAGGTGGAGCTTGCCGTGGTCATCGGCCGCGAGTGCAAGGACGGCCTTGCCGTGCTTTTGCATGGCGCAGTCGGGTTTGTTTGATTTCCCTGGGCAAACCAACCCCAAAAAGGGAACTCTCAAAAACACACACACGCACTTGGCTTTTTGACTCCGAGAATGGATCGGTGTGTTTGAAGATACAGCTTGGCTCTCAACATATTAGTTGGGCATGAAGGCTATGCCATGTGAGGGAGAGCAACAAGAATTTCAGAGTAGGACTGCAGCTTTATTCAAACAAGCTGCCGGCACTTTCACTTTTACTCCATACAGATTCTGAGGTTCCATGTTTGCGGATGGGAGGGATATTATCTGCTCGTGTCCGTGGGTGGTTTTTCAATTTCGCGACGTGTCCATCTTTCCAAGGTGACCCAGCTTCATCTCATCGCCCTGCCACTCGGCCACTAAAGGATGTCACGCCAGAAGAGGCCATGGACTACGTGCTGGGGCCAGGAACTCGAGCATTGAAGAATACGGAGTGCAAACTGGGTTGTGGCAAAATAGGAGGACCCAACAAAAGGTCAACAACTGACCGTGCCGGGACAAGTGGTGTTTTTGGGCCGAAGCAATGGGGAACAGAGCAGGGCCAGACTAAGCAAGGCAACAGGATGGACCAACTTGAGGTGAGCTGATTTGGTGCGAAGCTTTCAGCCACAGTGTCAAAGGTACACCTGCGCCAATGACCTTTCCACCCGCGACTGGCAGAAATTGCCGGAGCTCTCTGGAAGCCGTGGGCTTATTTTTTATTTTATTTTTATTTTTTGGGGAACTCTCTTTTTGGCGTTGTTTTGAAGGAAAGGACGCCAGAAAGACCTCCCCGTACTTTGGGGGTTCCATATCCCATTTCGACAAATCCGTTTGGCCTGCTTTGTTGGCGTGAGCGGAGGGGCGCAAGCGCCAGGGGCAAATGGTAGTGTTGATTGCCGCAAGAGGATAACTCAGGAGAGGCTTTCAGGAGAGCATTCAAGTTTGGCGGGTCCCGGTATGCGTCTGCCGAGGCAGAACACAGTTGAGATGTGTTGCTTTATCTTTCCATGTTGTTTGCGATGAGGTACGTACCTTAACATGCGAATGTGTATATATATATATATATGTCTCCTGCTCTTAGCGGAGATAGGTCACACGCTCCGTACGTAGAGGCAGCATGACACTCACACAATGTGGTATTGGCATCCGATGCTTGCGTCAAGCATGGCTCGAGTCACCAACAGCGTACCATCAGGCTGCTTGGAATTCGAAACAGTCTGTCGCTTGCGGGCTTCTTCTTTTTCTTAGGTCTTCGTAAGTTTTTATCGTTGGCTTTTAAGGGTTTGGCACACGGCAGAAACTCGAGGCCAATGGTGCAGATCCAAGAGCTTCGATGGGCGCGCTGCTCAGCTGTTGGGGACCAAAGGGAGACCGGGCTGGCGCCTTTTGGTGCCGTATCCTATTTTGAGGCACCTGCAAGTGGGTTTTTAGCCTCGCATTATCACCATCGTTTGTTTGGTCGGCTTGGTGGAGCATAGACGGATTCCACAGTTGTTTGTTATCATATATTAGGTTTGACACCCTTTTCGGCTTCATTCAAAACTGTCAACTCACCTCGTGGTATCGTTCCCAATCCCCCAACCCAAATCCATCATGGTCCTTTTGAGGCCGGCTTGTGGGATAAGATGAATGGGGCCTCCAAAAAGCACGCCGGCGGCGTGGATCAAATCACGGACCCCCAGACACCCAACCAACGACCCCCCCCACCCATTTGGAGGCATGGAACCCAAAGTTGTCCCAAAGTGAACAAACCATTCCGGGTCTTCACCAGTTTTGAAAGGGTGGGTACTCATTTCGCCTTGGGAAGCCCAAAATGAAACACCATTTTGGGGGTCCCCCCCAATTAAAATTGTACCATCCCGTCTCCCCTTTTCCAGCCAAGACTCGTCCCAGCACATGGGCAGCTCGAATGCATCGCCAGAGGTTCGCGCCTCTGGGGCCAGTGCTGGCCACCAAGGCGGGGACCCCAGGGCGGCTTGTCCACCGAAGCCCAAGGGACGATTCCAATCACCAAATGGGGAGCTCGGGAGCCTTTGCCAACAAAATCACCGAGCTGTGTATCGTAAGCCAAAATTTAGTTAAGCTGTGAAGCGTCTGTGTGTCTCTCTTTTTTGCGTGGTTGGTGTTTCTTAAGAATCAAGAGAAAAGAGGGTACCCATTTTTTTCATGGCCACTGGCGGTCTGGGGTTTGGTTTAGTGACCTCAGTCGGCACCTAAAACCATGGTAAATCACCATACCTTTTAATGTAACGTCAGCCCACTCCAAGGATATTTGCTGGGGTTAACTCCCCTGAGGCCTGCAACTAGACCCGGACCAAACAAGGGGGCCAGTCAAGGGTTTCTCGAAAATTTCTTCGATTTAGGCCCAAACAAGTACTCATAGGAGGGCCTCCCACACCACTCCCGTACGACTCCGTATCAAAAAGTGATGTTCGGAAATTTGCGGTTTGCCTTGCTTTGCCTGTGAGCAGTACCCGCACAGTCTACCCCCCGATTCCGAAGGGTTCTCCTTTCGGCTAAATCCATCAAGAACCGCGCCGCTCGCAAGAGGAGGAGATTCCGGACCCGGGCGCCCTCCGAGCCGGCGCCTGAGATCGGGTGCTAGCCCCAAATCCAAAGCGATGTGGGTTCCCCCTTCTTTTCTCGGCATAAACCGCGTTTTTCTTGGCAAATTGGATTTTATTCCAGTGAAGGCAACCAGGTTCCCAACTGACATGGATCCCACAGAGTCCCTTGAAGAGAGGAACATGGCATTTCAGGAACCCCAGTCAGGTTCCATGTTAGTAGATAGTGAATAAAGGGGATGTGAAGGCAAGGAATTCGAGCTTCAAAGTTGTGATCCACTCAAGTCCGGAGAAGTGTTGGAGGTCTGCGTTCGGCCTCGCATAGCCTGGTGTCTGTGCACTTCGCCATGCATGCTGCTTGTTTCATACCCGTTTACAGGGGCCCTGATCTGCATGCTTGACATTGAACACCTGTTTGGTTCAAGAGCGTTTTAAAACACTCAATACTGAAGTCGATTTGTTGGCACTGTGTCAGCACTGATTGTTTGCAGGGACGAGGCACTCCAAGATACTCTGAGTTGAAGCTCAAACTCACACTAAGCGATTTTAGCTCACTCAAACTCACACTTGAGCAAATCACCCGGCGTGTCTTTGACTTGGGCCGCGGCAGCCAGCCAGGACCGATGAAAGAGCAAGCACAGGTACACACACACACACACGGGCGTTTTTTGTGGAAGATTCCTTGCTTTGGTTGTTGCACAGTGACACCAAAGCGAAACACTTCCGTTTGGCCATTTGCTCAGGTGCAGACGTTTGTGAACGGCGTGCAGATGCAGGACCTGTAACATGTGCTGCATGCATGGACGTCTTCTTTCCGCGGGCCAACAGCTCACATCACATCCGCTGGCTCGATTGACTCGAGCTGGAGACCTGTGGGAATTAAGCTACTTGGACATGTTGTTTGTAGTTAAGAAAGCAAATACCCAGCGCTTCTCGAAAGCAGGCAGTTCTCGCTGGTGACAGTGTCTACCCGCAGGATTTTCATTTGATGCAGTCACTGTGGAGAGGCACACAGGTCAATCACGCACAAACAACTCACTGGCGACACCTTCAAGTCCGAGTCTCTTTTACGGGAACAGGACTCTGTGAATGCCGCAACTTCCAACACATGCATCAGAACCCGAGTTCATCGGCACGAATCAGGCATGCATTTCAGCAAGGCATTGATGTTGGTCCGGTGTTAGATGGGGGAGTTATATGGAGTCATATTCGGGTTTCCCTTTTTCAGTGGTGCCCCTTTCGGGGGTTGTGATCGCGTTTTTCAGGAGACAAGGCCAGAGCTGAGGTGTCGCTCTGGTTGGGTGACACCAGAATCTCTGGATGGGAGTTTGATTTCCCGTCCAACCCTTCCGTGCATCTGAGCCAGGACTCCACCACAAGAGACCTCATCTTCTCCGTGCCTGAGATCATCAGTTTCCTCTCTATGGGCTCGAGGCGCTGGTGGGGCGTACCGCGGCTTGCCTCTCAAATAGGACCTTACCTTTCAACTTGAATGGGGTTTCCTATCGTCTTCCATCAAATTTACCCCAAACACAGTAACCCCCCTCCCCCCCCCAAAAAAGAAGAAGAAGAAACTGGCCCGCGTCAAAGCGAGTTGGACCCCAGGTGCGCCAGTCAAGGAAACTAACGTCAAACCAACGAGGTTGAGGAGTCGCTGGTCTTGACACCAACACCATGCGCATTCCTTGAAAGTGCACCCGCGTTGAAAATCGTTCCTCAGCTGTTCACCTTTTCCAAAACCCTGGCTTCTGGAATCTCCGCGTGGCCCGTCCCATTTTTGGGCTCTGTATTGGAGCCAGCATGACATTTGCTAGCGGTCCAAGCAGACCAGGCGCGCTGGCAGCATCAACTCATGACAAAAGTATGTCTTTGGATAGGGGGTGCCCCACAATAGTGGCTTTTACTTTCGCTTCCATTTGAACACGGAACCCACCCAAACAGCGGTACGCTCATAGAAAGACTCGCCCACTTGAAGGGTGGCATGAAGAACGGTCCAACTGTGAAACCACTAGATAGATACATCTCGAGAAAAAAAGAAAGAAAAAAAGCGAGATTGCTCATTGGCAGGCTGCAGCCCGGCACTGTGATCCTCACAGGCTGGTCTTTTGCGCCGGTCAAGACGTCAAGACGTGGGAGCCACGGGACTCCCCCTGGAGGCTGCTTTGAGACCCCTTGTTTCAACTTGATCTATATTGATATGTAGGACGTACATATGTTATTTTGCGAAGACTGTATATTATAAACGCCTTCTGATTTCTGCTGTGGCCCGGAAACTTGCAATGGTACAGGGTCCTATTCGGATACCCGGGTCTGAATTGAACGGATGACTCTACATTTTGATGGCCTCGGACGGGATCCAGGATTGCTTTTTCATGTTCCAGTGCTCGCAGCATGTCATTTCAGGTCTGACAGTCAGGGTTGTTCTTTTAAAGCCTATACCTAATTGGAATCCGTATCTCCCCTCCAGCAAAGGTGGTTTCTATTGCAGAAAGGTGGGCAAATGGACTATTGTAAGACCTCACATGTCCATGCATTTCGAAACGGGTCCCAGGATGCGAACAGCCTTCTGCCCTGGAAGCGTTGCCTGAGAGTACGGCAGGGTTCCAATGGGTAGGTGTGCGTTTGCGTTAATGATACCCTTTTCAGGTTGGTTTCAAGGAAACCAAAAAAAGCCGCCAAGCTGACACATTTTGACACACAATTCCATGGCAACCCAGGACATGCATTCTTGCTTGACAAATGGAGGTGTCCTATTTGAGAGGGTGGGGTCCTTCACTTTGAGGAACACTATGGCCCTATCCTCCGGGCTGCTTGGGTCCTTCGCTGTACAGTGGGATGGCCTTTTAGCGCTTGACATAGTCAGGTGCCCTGCATTGGGTTGTGTCACTGGTAACCTGGTACTTCTGAGTTTGGTCCATAGGCTCCACAGGCGTCCTTCGGTGGTTCAACACTTGCTTCTAGTAGGCTACTTATTTTGCAGCGCCACTTTTTCCATAAGAGACATTTGGGGTTGTGTGTGTGTGTGGAAGACAAGGCCCTGGCCACTCTGGAATCCTGACAAAAGGCGAAATGCATAGACAAAAGCTTGCCAGACGCACAGTATCCGTTCACCATGCTGGTGTCCCACATAGATTTGTCTAAAAATTGGGACGTGGAAGGTCAACTTGACGCAACTCTGGTTCCCAACTGCAAACGTGTCTGATTTTGCTGCATTGGTTGTGTCGTGCCCAGAGCAAGTGGCACTTCGTTCCATGTGCCAGGGACGCCCTTCGGCCAGGGCCAGAGTGGTGGGATGTGGGGGACGTTGTGAGGGCTCAACCTGAGACACCTGCTTCAGGATGCTAAGACTCGGATAGTTCAGGGCCCGTGTTTGTGTCCAACAATGCAGCACGGTACGCATGAGCTTGGTCCTGGTTCCTTAAGAATTTGTAATTCTCTGGCATCGAAAACCCAGCCACAACATGTGTTGTTTTTGATGGCACCCTTTTTGGGTTGTGTTGGATAGACATGAAAGCGAAACAGGGAGCCATTTTTTGTGGCTTCATATTATTTGGAGGCAAACTTGTGTGTGTGTGTGTGTGTGTGTGTGTGTTTGCGCGTATCAGCATGATGCAAGGATACCTTGCCCGCTACAAAAGTACACTTAGTTCCGGCATGGATTGAATGGTCTTCTCTTTCCCGTTTCCCCTTTCCCCTTTCCCTTGCCCTTTGTAAAGCCCAATGCGTCGATGACTGGTACTGCCTTTCGTTTTTGTTTGTAATCGATAGGCACATTTGGCGGCCTCGCTGACAGGCGTGGTGTCCAATCCAATCGTTATTCGAACACCAATCTACGGCTAGATTTGTTTGCAGAAGCCAGTCGGTTGGAAGGCCCCGGTGACGAGAAATGAAAAGGGGAACCTCTTTCAACATCCCTCAAACTTCCCTCAAACTTCCCTCAAAAGGACAATCTCAGGGCAACGTACCTTCGGATCCAGGCGTGGCGGAGGGCCGGAGCCCGCAGCCTTGGCTGAAGCACGGCGCCCGGAACGCAGCCAGCGCCTCCAACGGGGCAACTTTCAGGAAACCCCAAGGCCCTCCCCCCAAGCGCTTGGGAAACTGTTTTGAAGCTGAAGGCTCTGGGGTCTCTGCCAGAGCTGCGCAAGGGTCGACACAGCGATTGCCCGACAGGGTTTCGCACCATACCCAAATCAAAGCCACTACTGAGGGGAAAGTACCCAATACGACTGAGGGTATAGGAGGGCTCCGCAGACAAGCCCAAAACGGGGGCTTTCAACGATATTTTTTTTATTGCTCCTTGTGAATCTGCAGGAGTGTTTGCGTTTTAGAAGGTTATTCCCACTAGCATGGCACCTCACAGGTCTACGGGCCCCTTGATATTGAAATCTGCCCGTTTTAGACTGAAACCCTCTTGCACTGTATCCACACCTGCCACATGACAAGCGTACCCACTGAAGCGGACACGCTCAGCAAACTGTCCACGCCTGCCAACTGACACCCGCTCAAGCGCAGCAGTGTATCCACGCCTGCCAAATCATAAGCGCGCCCGCTCAAGCGCACTCGCTTAGCACTCCGCAAACACGCAGGGACTTGTGGCTGTTTGCGGGCAAGTTGGCTGGCGGAGTCTATGTCAAGCGACTCACTTGTTCGTTTGCGCATTGCTGGAAAATGAGCGTTTCGCTCCTGAGGCGCCGCGCTCAACTTGGCTTGGATTGTAACATGCGTCAAGCATTTGGTTCCTCACGTTTGGGGCCAGCGAAACGGATTCTTCCCTTTGCAATGTGTGCAACATTCACGTTTCCATGTATCAACGCCGCATCCATGTTTTGTGTTTTTTCCTCGAAGGGAAACTGGGTTTAGACGATTCTCTTGAAGGTGGCATTGGGAGGGCGCCCTCAAATACTTGAAGATTTTGCGCGGAGGGCCTGAGGAGGAGATGCGGTGCCAGCTCCCTGCAACATGCAGAGGAAGCACGCAGAGCAAAATATGAACCCCGTGAAAACCCTCGTTGGGGCCTTGGGAATGCTTCTATTCTCAGAATGCTGGCCCCCAATCCCCCTCCCCCAGAAGGAGAATCTTCGAACAAATTATGGTTTCCGCCAGATTGGCGGAAACCCATTCAATTTGTCTCGCTGAGGCCGGGCGACCGCGTTGCGGTGGAGGTAGAGGGCATTGGCCGCCTGGAAAATACGTTCGGGCCTCAGCGGGATGAGCGGGAGGCAGGATTTCATTTTCGATCAGCGCAAGGTGCAGTTATACCTATGGGTGGCCCAAAGTTTATATGGACTTGTACCTAGGGGTGGTTGATTTTACATGTTTTTCTGGGAGAAAGTCTGTCTTCCGATCAAGAAACGCAACCCTGGGCGGGACATCTTCTGGTCTGGTACCACCAACTTCTTGTGTGCAAGTCGACCTGTGGATTCCCATCGAAGCAAGCCAACCCAAAGCCGCTGCGACCGCCCACTCCGCATGTTTGTCATGCCCGCGACTGAGAATAGTTGTTGTGGTGGGTGACTCGGACTTGCCGACAACGAGATTTGGGGCACTATTCGTGCTGTTTTGGGTTGAGGTTCTGGGTGAAACCTATGAGACGGAGGGGTGCTAAGCATGACTTTGGCACTGGAGGAAGAGAGAGAGTGTGTGTGTGGGGGTGAGTGCGTGAGTGCGTGGGTGCCTGCCTGCCTGCCTGCCTGCATGCGTGCGTGCTTGCGTACGTGCGTGCGTGCGTGCGTGGGTGTGTGTGTGTGTGTGTGTGTGAGAAGCGTTCTGATAGGCTCGATTCCTTGAACCGCATCTCTGGTGTGTGAGCGTGCTTGTGTTTGTATGTCTTTGTTGCACCAGGGCGACCCGGTTGCTCTCTTCGGCCATCCTGTGGTTCTCGCTGGCTCCATATTGCTTGCTCCTGGGTTCATTCGCAGCTCCCTTGTATGGAATTCAGAGGTTCGCCTTGGCGTTCGTTTGGTCCTTCTTGCCTTAGGGGCCATCCTTGCCAATACGGAGGTGCGGCAGCTAGCAGAGCAAGGCTCTTCCGGAAACGAGCTCTTGCCAGCCTTTTGGAATGTCTCTGCCACCCCCAATGCATTTCACGTGGAACCATGCAAACACACTTTCTCCAATTCTCCACACGGTCTTCAGGGTTGCTCCAGGCCTCCAAAAGGTCGTCTTCCCCCAAGGGTACAACATTCGTTTGGTTTTCCTTGGGGACCATCTTTTCTTCCTTGCCAGGGTCTTTTGTCAACCCTTACGACCCCAAGCCCGCACTCGGCCCAGGATCGTAGCCGACAGTTCCAGCGCGCGGTGCTTCCATGTGCCAAAGCTGTGAGCTCCGTAACCAGCACCGACCGTCCGACCGGATGCGGAAGAAAAACCGCCACGCCGTCCAAAAAGTTATTTCAGAGAAGAATGGGCTTCATTCTCTGGACCCTGGTGCCCTCACTTCCTGGTGGGACTATGTTTAAAGCGGACCTGTAGGGCGATGTGTTTCCGTTCTTTGCGATGGTGCGTGGTGCCCTCCTGCACTTGGCAGCGGGAGCCAACATTAACTTGGATTGGAGAACATTAACTTGGATTGGAGGGGCCCCGGTTTTGGCAACCTCCCGCTATGTTTGGTGAATCAGTTGCCCCACAGCTTGTTTTGAGGGATGCGAAACACACATCGGCAGGCTTGCTCCGAGCCTGATGACCAAGACCCCAGCTGGGCAAATTACTATAATTCACAAAATGGAGAAAACGGATTCCCGAGCAAAGGATCTTCGTCAGATGTGAGCTCGCTCCCCCCGAGCTCATTGAATTTTAGTGGGGGAGGTCTTCCACTATCCGATCCCAAACCATTGCCTTCAGGGGCAAACGGGGCATACCCTCCCACCCACTGACATGGAACCTATGGATGCCAGCAAATTGGTGAAGGTATTTTCCCACAGGTGTAATGTTCGGAGGGAGGGCGTGGCCATTTGGCAAAGGTCGTATGCCACGTTTCCCCTGGGGGCTGGTGCGCAAGCAGGGCACGCGCTGTTTTTTACGCGAACAAGCTGATATCCCACACAACAACACACACGCACACACATACACCTATGTACCTATTTGCCTAGGAACCTCCTGTGGGAGCCTGGGTTTTTGGTTCCAAGTGCATGTTCGAGAGACTTTGTTTTGAGATCTTCGAAGCTCTACTGCGGAGCAGGTGAGGCACTGCAACTTCACGGAACGAGGCAGGATGTCTTTCGAGGGCGAGCGGTGCACGATTGATGTCGCCCCATTGGCCCGCGGGAAGCTGCGGGTCTACGTTTGCAGCTGCGGTGCCCATTGAGCCATCCGATTTGGCCCCCTTGCGTCTTTCGGACCCAATCGGACTCTGCCCCACTCATTCGCACTTTTGGCTTCAAAACACCACGGCAACAGCATGCACCACTTAAATGTTTCCACACAGAGACTCAGCTTCGCCAGTCACTGTGCTCATCGCTTCCCAAGTCAGAGAGGAAAGAGTTTGCTTGTGCAGCTAGTAGCAGGATGCGAAGCGTGAAGGAGACACGATCGGAGAATCCATGAGTGCACACTGAGGCACCACTATCATCCAACTCCTTGTCCGCTTGTTGGTCTCTTTGATTCAAAGACGTTGTTTCAAACCAGCACGGAGGATCGTTTCGACATGCATTGCACTAGTGGCGATGCCCTGTACCTTTTCTTGCAGGGCCCGTTCCTCACTTCCAGGGTCTCACATACCACACACTTCAGCACACCTACGGTGTTTTCTTTGGGGCGCCTGCGTAGTTTGCAACGTTTGAGTTTTGTGCACTCGAGCGACATTAGGTGCTGTTCGGCGCAACAAATCACAATTCGGCGGGGCGCAGTCAGTGCAGCTAAACGCTACTAGGTGCAAAGCACAGTTGAGCGCAGCTGCGCAGCCTCTCCGCCCAGTTTGTCTGCCTCCATCCAGCTGCGGAAAAATAGGAAATCCCCCAATCATGCCACCATACTTCCAAGCGTTTCTGTCGAACACACCCAATCCAGAATCCACCGCAAAATATCCCACGGCCGAAGGTTATCACCCCCGCAACGACGTGCGTGCCTGGGACCCAAGGGCGGTGGTTTTGGTTTTGGAAAGGCTTCGTGCCTTGCTCAGGGGTCCCGTTCTTTCTTTAAGCGACCGACAATAATACTGGTAGTCAATTGTTAGTTTGGGAAGGACATGCGGGCTTACCCAAACTTGAACCACCAATTTTCCCATGTCCACTTGAGAAAGTCATTTACACGCACATACTTCTTTTGGGGCCGGTGATCCTGGAGGATCGCTGCAGAGATAGACACTACAACGCAAGCGGGGCCGAGCGGGGCAAGACCTTCTCGACCTGTTTGGATTGTATTTGACACTATGGCACACAAAGTCGTTTGAGTTTTGTTTCAGCAAGGACAAAAGCCCCTCCCTTCAGAAAGCCCGAACCGCCGTCACACGGTAATCAGAGCGGTCAGCACAATACACCCAACTGCTGAGAGAGGATGACCAGTTTGTGACCCAAGATACCGCTCATCCCGTCCCTACCAAGTTGGACATAGATCGGATCCGCAGAAACTCTGCAGACTTTGCACCAACTCTCCGAATGCGCACCTTACGGAGTCCATACCTCAGATCCTGTCTCCAGTGGGAAAAGGCGGGACGACATGCTGGGTATGACGGGCTAACGAGTACTAACATATTGGTCTCATGGTCATGTCCCCAAGTTGGTTTTAACGTATTCTACAATCCCATTCCATTTGTTTCCTCTTCTATATAGTAGGTGGGGTTATTTCCCCTTTCGGCGGTTTCAATGATGGCCGTTTTTCGCACAGGGGGGAATATGTGTGTGTGTGTGTCAAATCGAACTTGTGTTTGAACGAGGCCCGCATCGTGGCGCGCGCCATGACGGTGCTGCAAGCGCGTGGGGAGCTGCCGCAGGATGCGCCAAGCCCAGGTTTTCAAGCGGATGACTATTCTGGAATCTCTAGTCAAAAGTGCAGAGCGTAAACATCTTTTAGTATCTTCGTCTATGAACGTGACACACTTAGCAATAGCATGCCAAATTGCCTCTAATTGACCTGTAAATCCACCTCCCATCACTGTACAGAAAACGTCAGTCGTAACTATTTAATCTAGATATTCCTCCGCATCTTGAGAGCTTAATCAGATGGCGTCTCGCACTTAAGCAAAGATGATTTGCTTGCCTTGTTCCGCTCACTATTTGCTGGGAATACCGAGTTTTGTCACCGGTTTCAAATGCTGTTCTGTTGAGACATGGGCAGCTGACTTAATGTCCGGCGCATGCGCTCTGTCAAGCTGGTCTTATTCAAGAGGCTGGCGGAGGGAGACACGCGAAGCAGAACTCCATGCAAAGGATCAGCCTGCAAAAGGCAAGCACGACATTGAGTCATTGAGGCTTTGCAGAGCCAGGCCGGCTCATATCGGCTCATTTATTGAAAGCACACCTGACAATCAGCCGTCACTTGGCTGTGTCTCCTTTTTGGAGTTGGCAATTTGTGTTGGTGTTTTTCAAATACGAAACCACCGGGAAGCTACCCATTTTGGATCCACATCCCGTGAGGCAAGCCCACAAGTCCCGAAAGCCTCGCCATGGCGCTTCGGAGTCGCCTGCTCCCTGTGCTTTTGCTTGGTGGGGGGCCAAGTGGGATGGAAGGCTCGGGGTCCGGAAAGTAAGAAGCTGTCCTGGGATGCAGGAAGCAGACAGAATCTGTTTTGTTTGTGACACATTCGGATGAAGACCTTGCTGGAGGGGAGGTTGCAAAATACGGATTGACCTGCAGACTTTGGTATACTGCAGCATTTACGTCCTGCAGGGTCGGCCGCGCTACACGGTGTGAGTTCGTTCTACAGCACACTGCACTTCGTCTAGGCGAAAACAACATCATTCGTGCTCAAAGTGCTGGACATTTTTCGAGCATGTCTGGGCTTGTCAAGCGCCACAGGTTCTTCCGCACCTGCTTTGATGCTAAAAAGGGGCTGACGTCACAGGCTCCCCGCGGCTCTTCTTCGCTACAGAGGGTTATTTACCGGTTCCCAACGCACAAACAAGGCTACAAGACTGGACCCTCTTCACCTTGTGATACTCGGCCCGCATCTCCATATTCCATGCCATCAGGCTGAAATTGATTGCACGCCGTGCGGTGTCGCCGATACCTCACCCCGATGTTCACCTCCCGCGCTTTTCGGCATCGGCTTCTCGATCTCCCGGCCCGGATCGCCTTGACGGATGGATGCTCGATGATGCTCGATGATGCTCGTGTGCTGTCGCATCCACTTCGTGAAGATCTCGGCCTTGCCTCGGACCTCCGAGGTTTTCTTGCACCAGCTTCGGTCCTGCGAGTTTCAGCCTGTCGGTCTGTTCGCACCCGCCAGAGCCCCACAAGTCTGCTTCAAGACCCCCAAAACCCCGATCACCAAGATCACGCCCACCAAGAGCGTGGCTCATCTCCAGGTCACCATGCTCTTCGTTGCCTCAGCGCCGTAGGCCCTAGCAAAAAGAACGGCCATCAGCTTCATAGTTTCAGCTTCAGGCGCATTTTGAGCTTCGCTTGCAAGGAGAGAAATTCAGCTTCATGAAATTATGCTTCACATTTCAGCTTCAGGTGCGTTTTGAGCTTCACTCAGATTGAAGCTTTAGGCGTATTTTGAGCTTCAGTTGCCAGCAGGAGAGTTTCAACTTTGCGAATTTCAGCGTCAAATTTGAGCTTCAGGCACGTCGTGAGCTTCACTTGCCCTAGGAGACAGTTTCAGCTTTACGAGTTTCAGGGGCGTTTTGAGCTTCACCTGCTCAAAGAGAGAATTTTAGCTTCAGGAATTAAAGCGTCCATTTTCCGCTTCAGGCACGTTTGGGCTTGTCCGAAGGATAATTTGAGCTTCATGGCTTTCTAAGCGTTACGAATTAGCGTCAAATTCGACTTTAGAAGGTCCAGCTTTAGCAATAACTTCAAATTTAAGCGTCTCGGCTGCCGCACTTGAAACCCTTGAGCTTCCTGTCGGCTTGCAGCTCTTGTCCATTTCTTCCTCGATGGTCCGTTCCTCCCCAGTGGGACCCTTTCTGGCAGCCATACCCGAAGTGCATCATTCCACACCCACCCCAGTTGAGCGGCCGCAGATCTCGTCCAATCCTCGCCACATCGAGCAACACCACCTTCTGGCCCTTGTAGTTGTCCCGGTGGTGGCCCTTCCTCATCTCGTCGGTCCTCACCAGAGCTCGATCACCACAGCCCTGAGCACCATGCCAAAGAGCTGCTTCACTTCGCCATGTCCAGGCTGACCAGACTCCTCCAGATCAACCATCACATTTGTCCTCACCC